GTACGTGATTCTGCATTGAGCAGAAGAGAAAGGAAGCTTACTAGCTTGTGCTGGTGAAGGCCAGAGATTCTGCTGAAAGATTCAAGCTACTGCAACTGCATGGAAAGAACTTATATTAAAATATCTATATGGCAAGAAATGCAGGAGATTATTTGTTTAGTCATGGCTTGCAATATTGGAAAAATGGCTGGAGTAAAAATGAGTGATCATGAAAATAAACACCTAAAGTATTTTTTTTTATGAATCATCAGTGAGTCTAAGAGAATGAAGGAAATACTGTAATTTTAGCAATGGCTAATCACTTAAGACTTTTTCCCTAAAAGGATATACTTCCAGATGTTATATAGGTGAGTTTATGGGCAAAGTTTGTTCTAGCTTCCTAGGTTTTACTATGCTTTTTTTTTCAGGTGATATGTACTATTGGCAGGTGTTTTATGTAGTTACTGAGGAATGCTGAGTGTATATCTATATATAATTTTCTCAATCCAAATAATTTGTCCAGTATAATTTTATGCATCTTGAATATATGTATTAGTTATCTGTATGAAGAAATATATACAATGATATATACATGTAATTGGTTTTGTTTCAGTTCTATATAGTTTTGTATGCTCTAGTTTAATATAAGCAAGTATAATCCACAATGCCCTTGTAGTGTGTTCATTTTATAGAATTTACCTCAGGGTTAATTTTTATGGCAGCTTGTAACTCAAACTACTCTCTGAATAAGTTTTTTATCTTAATAGTTCATTCTTCATTCCCACAGATACAAGTGCAACTTCCAGGTAGCAGCAGCTTGCAAAACTGAAAGTGCTGCTTGCTTTCACCACTCTGATGGCTGACGCGTAGATACAGTCTTGATTTTGCCTTGTGCAGTACAGGTACCACTGTACATAGGGTCCATCTCAACTGCATAAGTTCTGGCAAGAAAACGTAAGCGTTTTCCCCTTGGTAAAGGGAGCAGATGTGAGAGCACGGGGTAGCGGGTGACCCCGGTGTTGAAGGGAAGCTCTGGGGAGCCTGGGCCAGAGGGGCTGCTCTGCTCATCCTGGAGTCAAAGGGGTTTTTGCTTTAGTGGTTTACTTCCATTAAATAAATAAATTAAAAAAAAATACTGATAAATATGTTACTTGTTGTTACCCTGCTACTGAAAAGAGTATTTATTTATTGTGTTATGATAAATAGATTTGAATCAACGATGTAATTTAATAATTTACCAATTTTAGCCACAGGCCTGCAAAAATTTGCATCTACATTTAAATGAGTGTGTCAATAATTGCAGAAAGTCCAGTAAAGGAAAATAAAATTTTAGGTGTATTATCATCAGAGGGGTTAAGTGCAAAAGGTTATGTGTAAATTCATGCAGGTCTTTTGTTTCTTTGTGCTTCATAAATTAAATTCTACCCATTTTAAAGAAAGTTACAGTGTGATCTAGGAGCTATTTCTCCAAGTGTTAGCTAGTAATGGAATGGAAAAATATTGTGTTCTAAAGGTACTCAATTAGATGGTGTAAGAAGGCTGGATTTTAAATGCCCATTCTTTTGATACTGTTTCAGTTAATGTGAAATAATAAACTAGCCCAGGGATTAGATGAACACAAAGGAATCTTAATCTATTTGCTTAGTTACAACATGGGGAGGTATTGAACAGCTCTAGGATTTGATCCTCAGTTCTATCCCACTAAGGCTGTTTTGAGCAAACTAGTAGTTATTTTGTACTAGACTTGATATTTGCAAGATTAAACAAGTACAAGATTAATCTGAATTCCAGATATTAAGGTGAATCTTCTAGGTCTCTCAACCTGTCACAAAAAATGAAAATTGAAATGTATATGGGTCTTTGAAAAAGCAATTTATCTATTGTTCAGAAAGTATTCATAGTCCCTAAATTAGGGAATTAATACAAAAAACAAGGGATTTTTGTAAAGTTACAATACTATCAATTCTTAATGCTCAGTTGATGGACGTCATTGTTCCCTAAACTCAGATTAGATAATGTGAGATTAGAGCATTTCAGCTCCGTTGTACAAAAAAGTGAAGACTGGCATAAAATCATAATTGTAAATTCAGTATTTGTTATATTAATAAAAAACTGAAATTCAGTAGGACAAAGTCAGTAGTATGATAAACTATTATTTCTTTAATTGCATGGGAGATTTTATAATCATTTAAACTTTTATTTAAATTGCTCTATATGATATGATTATAGATTATTGTGTCAGCAAAGTACATGTCAATATAGCTCAAATATCAACAGATGCTCTCAAAAGAAGTATTTTCAGTTTTTTTCCCTCTCTCTTGCTAAAGTATTGATGCATAAATTCAAGGGTTCCAGAGCTGACAACAACTCCATGGCTCAAAATTGGAACAACATGACTACAGAAAGCTTTGATCAGGGGACATCATCAAGCACTGCAGCAATAGTCATTGAAATCTAATTCCAAGCACTGGTGGGAAGGAATTATCCATGTCTGATCAAAGTAGAAAGTAAGACCTCTGAAAGCGAGGTCTGTGCGATTCCTCCCCTTCCAAGCATCAGACTATACTTCTGGTCTGCTTGAAATGGCAAAGTGGCTCCTTCTCCAGAGAAGCAAACCAGTCAGTGGTGTTGCCTTCCAGTATGTGCCCATGGGCACGGGCGTGGGGCCTTGTTTCCTCAGCAGAGGAGGTAAAGGGACTTGGCATCGCAAACTGGCTGGTGTAGGAATGAGCTGTGAACCAGTATCCAGCCCCAAAATCAAGAAAGATAAACTTCACTAAATCTTCTCAAATTGTAGAAAAATATTTTTATCAGAAACATGAATTTTGTCATGTTCATCACTGCTTTTTAAAATTAGTTTGCTATTTGAAGAATAATAACTCCTATGTGTCAATCCCGAATCATATTTTTTCATGTTACAGTGTTTATGAAGAGGTAAAGAAAGAAATCTGTCTTACTTGAAACAAAAGTAGCTGCTAAGTTAGATATTTTGTAAACTTGAAGTTACTGCATTCTGTGAACAACAATAAAAATACCATTATTTAGTGATAATTGCAACTTTAAAAAGCAGCAGTATATGTAGCCTATGAAGTAAACACCTGTACTATGTTAGGGACATGATTTATATTAAACCCAATAAATTAATATTTATCTCCCTCAAGAAAATTAGTCTGTATTGAAAATGGGAAATATTTTAGGGCATTTTTTCTCAATTTGATATTACTTTTAAGTGAACAGAACTGGTTTGCCTAACACAAAACCTTTTCCTTGATACTTGTATATTTATGGAAGATGGTTTTTTTTTGATTTTTTTCTTTTAAAAATGCAGTTAAAATTCTTCCTAGAATGACTGAATGTATGAGTGTGTGTGTGCCACTCAAGTTGCAGTGGGATAGGAGGGAACAAGAGAGAACCTATTTTAAGTTCAGTGTGCTTTGGCTGGTCCGCTAAAATGTGTTCTTGAGTATTTCAGTGCACCACAGCATCTGGTTCTGTGTCAAGGTGGTAGCTGTTTTTTTATCTGAACTTCACAGTAGCAGATCATAAGTGCTGAACATAGTTAACTGCATATGCAGAGACTGATAATGACCTTTTTATTAAGTGTTGTGTATTCAAGGACTTTACTATTTCAGCTGCTTCTTCAAAAAACATTGTCTATTTTTATCTTCTCTTACCTATAGTTACACATGAGTAAATCTTGGTAACTGTCAGTAAATCATGATTTAGTTATACATTATTTTATACTTCCCTGGATCTGTTTTTGGACAGGACTGATTTAATCTTTAGCAGGGCTCAGATCTGCAGAAGTCGCAGGATGGCAGTTCTTCTCTCATAGACCCCTTCATTTCTCCCAGGCAAGATTTCCTATTTGTCTGAAACTTGCCGTGACATAAAGAAGCCTGCACCTCTAGCCCCTCTCTTTCTTATTTTAGGGGAGGGGGGCAGGAGCAGACCATCACATCTGCTGGGAAGGGAACCTGCTGGAAGGGAGAGCGGGAGGGTCAAAAAATAAATTCAAAATTTTACTTCAAAATACAGAATTACAAAAAAAAGCCCTAAAATTAGTACATTGCCAGAAGGTCTACTAATCAGCAATGCAAGACCAAGGAATTTCCCCCATACTGGTCTGATTTAACAATTACATCTGAAGTGAATCATGCTGTAGCTTAAATTTCTGGGTCTCTGCTGAGTGATAGCTAACTTCGTATTGCCATTAGAGCTAGGGCATTGGTTGGTCTTAGCAGTGTTAAGACTGTGTGTTAGTATGTCCTGTGTGCATTTGAGATTGTTCTCTAGAGCATATTTATGAATACTTTATCCAGCCTCTATGTGCAGGAGCAGAAAAAAGATCTGTATAGAAACATTCAAATGCAATACGATAGCTGAAGAAAATCAAACAAAACTGACAGAGCGATTCATCTTTCTGTCAATCAGTGAAAGTTCTAGTGGACTAGGGTTTTTTGCCTCAATATTATCTTGCCTTCATACTGTGATTATTGCATTTACCTTTAAAAAAGTGAGAGAGCAAAGACCTACAAAATACTACATGTTACATTCTTTCTTTCTGTGAAGTATGAAAATATAGAAGATGGTATCTTCATATCTATTAAGTCTTAAGGCTTTGGTGGACACTGCCGATAAGATACATGTATTAACCTATGTATATTCTCTTGGCCCATATTCATGTTCTTTGGTCATAAAATTGCTGGTTTATTGCTTTATGTATTCTGGGGATACAGACAGGAAGGCTCCACATGACTTTAACATTGTGTGTCTATCTGTCACTCTGAAAAACATGACAAAGTGTTCATTTTATTTATTTCCCCTGAAGAAGTGAACAAATTACAAGACTGGAAATATATACTCTGAGGAGCATCAAATTAACCTTTTATTTGTGAACCAAGTGACTGAAAGTGTATCAAGACTTAAAATTAATTTACCTATATATGTAAAAAAAAAGGCTTTTGGAAATGCTGTTACACAGACAAATTAACATGTTTGTTTTTACTTTGTAACTGTAGTACATTTACTCCTAAAATGCAAGGCAGACGGATGGGGACTTCAGGGAGAATCACTAAGAGCACAAGTGTGAGCGGAGAGATGTATAAGCTGGAGCACAATGACGGGAGTCAGTCGGACACGGCTGTCGGCACGGTTGGAACAGGTGGGAAGAAAAGGCGTTCCAGCCTTAGTGCCAAAGTGGTTGCCATAGTGTCTCGAAGGAGCAGAAGCACATCTCAACTTAGCCAAACAGGTGAGTGAGACACAAGCTCTTTGGAAACAGGACTCTCACCAAACGTGGTTTACCATTTTTTCATCTGTGGCATCTGTGTTACATGTATATGGGTATAGATTTCTCAGGAGAGAAGATTTTCCAGCTTTGAATAGTTTTCCTTGATCATTAGGCATCTGCAAGAAACAATATACAAATGGCTTTTAGAATATGTACCATAACAACTTTCTGTCCTGATAAATGAAAAATGTTTTTATCTCTTAGAAGCCTTGTTTACAAGTAGGGAAGGAAATGCAAAGAGACACATGTGGGTATCAGCAGTGGATAATGGTTTGGCTAAGAGCAGTGTTTTATGTATAGGAAATTTCTTCTAGCAGAAGAGTTGAGTACGAATGGGGGAACTGAAATCTGAGCAAATGAATGGCAGTTATGTAACTCAGATTAAAGGTTGTACCTGTAGTGGCAAAAAATATGTTTTTAGAAACTACCTTTGGTTTCTTAATCAAGAGTAAATCCAATATTTTTCCTTTAAAAACAACGCTGGCAAATTGGGGTCAGTGATTACAGATAAATCAGGAAACAGCATGTTGTTTCATTAGGAACATAAGACTTCCAACTCTTTATTGCAACTTCAGAAATCTTAAAAGCTTCGTATCTGCATAGCCTGAAGGAACAAAAGCTTATACAGAAAGATACAAAAGGAAAAAAAAAAATGTTTTAAAGTCCCTGTCCTGCTCTTATTGAACCCCAGTGAAGACTTTTGCTCTTGTCTTCAGTGGGTGTGGGACCTGACCCTAAGGGTTCTTTCTTGCTAAAAGAAGGAAAAGAAAGAGGAAAAGCTTCAGCCTAGCATAGAATGCATACATATTACAGCAGTCCTCTCGCATAGTCAGGGTAATCTAAACTGAGGTAAGTAACAATATTGTTTATTAATATCATCAAATATCTCACACATTTATCTTGGTTTTCTTTTATTGCCAGATGAGCAGTAGAAGTGATTCTTTCAAAATGTAAAGCTTGGTCAGCTTTAACAAAAAGATTGTAATACTTTTCTGCACAACTCACTTATGAATTTTAAGCCAGAAAGCGTATAATCATACAGTTGGACAAAATGATAGATGTAGTTGGCGTGTTTGAAGCCTGAAACTGTACTTAATACTGTGTTGCTCAAAAATGCACTCTGCCTGAATATAGATAGTTGGATACAGTAAGATGTTATTTTAGATGCATCAGAATTAATGACATGCTCTTAAAGTAATAAAAAGTGGTACTGTATTATAGGAAGGATTTTAAGTTGAAGTTTTACTCTGCTTACTATAAAGAACAAAATATTTTAAGTATTTTACAGGATGGTTTTGTGGTTTGATCTGGTATTCCTTTCTAGCTCCTAAATCTCATGAAAGTAGGAATTGTTGTGACAGAGCAAATCTTTGTTCCATCTTACTCAGTAGTCCATCTCTGACCAGGAAGCAGGGCTGTGTGCTAAGAGGGAGGCACAGGAGGGTACCAAACATAGGATGATTTGCTTTTCATGAGCCCTAACTCACTCTTATCAATTAAGTTAGTAAATAGCTTAAAATCTAAAGTGTGACTTCCAAACACTTCTCAGCATTATCTATTTAAAGCTCAGATGTTCCCATTCTTCATAGAAAGATACTATAGCTCTCCAAATTTTCCTTGGTGTAAATTTCAAAACAATAGGAATTTTGCAAAGAGTGGAGCGCCTAAAGTTATAATAAAACTCAAACAGCAGATCAAATATGAAAAGTATGATTATTCAAGATAGTAAAGCAGAGTTGAGAATGATATTTACTTTGCCTTACTGTGGCTCAGGCAAACAACACTCTCTGTGGTATAAGCAGAGCAAATAAAATATGGCATGTTTTTTCAGTCACTATTTTTTTAAATTAAATTATTTCAGATATCAGTGAGTTTAATCAATGCATTTTTCAGAACAATATGCACATGAGCCTTGATAGGTTTTCCAAAGAAAATCCATTGCTGGAAACTAAATACTCATGCCCTAAATGAGGGACCCACTTTCCTTCCTGTAGTGTGCAAGAGGGCAGGAAAAATCTAAAAAGGTCTAATTCATTTTAATGTGCTGTGCCTAAGTAACTTTATAATGGCTCCACTCTTGAGAATTTTTAAAAAAATCTGTTTTGGCAATATAATATAAACTAGGTCCTTAAAATTGATTATGTGAAAATAGTTCTGATAGCCAAACTCAGAAGTTTTAAAACTGCTGTGGGCCTCCAAAAGGTGGTGCTGGGTATGAACTTCTGCTGCAGATCTTCAGTAACTGAAGGTGTGCTGTTGACACAGAGCATGTAATTTAAAGGAAGTATAAAAAATACAGAAACGTACGTGTGGCCTCCATAGTTTTTCCTGAATTGGTCAATTTAAATTGTTTTTTTTTTCCTATGATTTGCATGATTGTAGGTTAGGTACGCACAACATATATAGCTGTTTGCTCCTGGAAACTCAAAATAGAAAATCAGAAATAAAACAAAAGGTCAGATATTTCTTGAAAATTAGAGGTTCTGTATTTTTATGAAACATGTAGATCTGAAATTCTAGTTTACTACTGTCTTCAAAACCAGTAAAGTTAACATCCATCTTGCTTTTTTCATTTGAAGAAATGGTCAATATGGGCTGAATTCGATTTTTGTAGATAATTCTTGCTTTTAGGATACTGCACAGGTTTAATGTTATATAAAAATAGAATAGGTGTGTATGAAACTGCTTCTAAGTAGCTATTATTTCTAAAAGTTGATTTTCTTTTCAGTTGAAAAAGTGTATGTGTGTGCCTGTACATGCATGTACGTGTCTATATATATACACACATGGACCTATTTGCATATATGGGGCAGATCCACTTGCAAGTTAGATTTAGAACAACCAGTAATCACATTATTTTGTGCACCGTTGTTCAGTGTTGTTAGAAAATATTTATTCTGAATCTGTGCCTTATAAGATTGTCAGTGAAAGAATCTGGTTTTATTTTTATGTAAATTCGCAAGAAGTATATATTTCTGCTGCACCTTCCTTTTGATTATGTTTAAGATTTCATAATACTTTTAGTAACTGTTCATTGTAATAACAAAATCCTTACTTACTATGGTTTGTTCATTTCACCCACAAATTGGATAGATTTTATAGTTCATCAAAAAAATATTGTAATCTTCTAGCAGTATTTCTAATGAAAATCCAGCTCTGCTTATGCTGTCACAGTTAAAAAGAGGAACAGAACAGTAAAAGGGAAAAAAATGCAGCAAACCCCCCAGAAAGACCACAGAATATTGAAAATAGCTCCAGGCATATTTGGTACAATTTTAGTTAAAATCCAGCTTTTATAACCCTCTTTGCCAGCCTAATTTTTGTAAATAAATATATAACTGCAGATTTTCTAGATAATTACATCAACTAAGCTTCAAATCGTAGGAAAACGATAGGAAGATAGATTATGATAGGGAATCATTGGCTATTGTCTTGATTTTGTGATACAACACTCTATTCCCCTACAGAAATTCATATATTATAGTTTCCTGACCAGTGAATGACTGATGATACTGATCATACTGTGTTTTGATTTGTGGTTCTGGGTTTGTTTTGAAAGGGATAAAAACTGTTGCCATAGGAGGAAAGAGTTTTATTACAGAATTTATACCATAAACAGACATAATTAGACATTTAAAGTGAATGGAAGTAATGGTAGGGGTATCACCAGTGAGATGAGTTCTGGAGAAAAGGAAAAGCTCTATCTCAGATGGACAGAAGTATTCCCATCCCTGGGTCCCTCTCAGTTCTGCTGGTACATGCAGAGGCATGCCTTCAGAAGGTGAAGGATTCCTCCCTTTTGCTTTCTAACCCCTGGTTAGCAGACAGGGGTTCAGAAAGATCATGTGCTCATAGGAGCACACTTTTCTTGATCTTTGTTAATTGATCTTTTTGTTAATTTTGTTGAAGGACTTACAGAATTTTCATTCTTTAGCCACTTCTAACAGAGGCCAACTCCTCTTTCAGAAGCATTGAGTAAGAGTTTAAAAGGAATTACAAAATAATTTGGGAGCGTTTGCTTAATTAAGATATTCAAAACATGATAACCAGTTGTTGAGGTTTAACCCCAGCCAGCAACTAAGCCCCACACAACCACTCACTCACTCCCCTCTGGTGGGAGGAGGGAGAGAATCAAAGAGTAAAAGTGAGAAAACTCGTGGGTTGAGGTAGAGACAGTTTTATAGGTAAAGCAAAAGCCACACATGCAAGCAAAGCAAAACAAGGAATCCATTCACCACTCCCCATGGGCAGGCAGGTGCTCAGCCATCTGCAGGACAGGAGGGCTCCATCACATGCAACAGTGACTTGGGAAGACAAACGTCATCACTCCAAACGTCCCATTCTTCCTCCTTCTTCCCCCAGCTGTATATGCTGAGCGTGATGCCATATGGTATGCAATATCCCTTTGGTCAGTTGGGGTCAGCTGTCCCAGCTGTGTCCCCTCCCAGTTACTTGTGCACCCTCAGCCTGCTCACTGGTGGGGTGGGGTGAGAAGCAGAAAAGGCCTTGGCTCTGTGCGAGCACTGCCCAGCAGTAACCAAAAATCCCTGTATTATCAATACTGTTCCCAACACAAGCCCAAAACATAGCCCCATACTAGCTACTATGAAGAAAATTAACTCTACCCCAGCCAAAACCACAACACACGTACAGATAGAAAGACAGAAAATACCAGCTTTGAGATAAATATGAACAAAACTACCAGAGATGCGACTGGTGAGCCTTTTGAGACATGTGCTCTTTTTTTTTCCAAATAAGAGTTCTTTGAGGCTGCTTTTATTTTCCAAGGTGTTTAATACCATTAATGTCAGTATTCTGACTAGTTTTCCATTGACATTGCTTGAGAAACATTAGTGATCTCATAGAAGTTAAAAGTGAGACTTTGCCTGGGATAGTGTATATTGTTCCTATTACTGGCTCAAAACGGATAAGAGTGACAGAGATGCAGAGAAGAGCTAAGG